TCAGGTTCATAAATACGGCAATCGGTCGGTATGTAAACTATGGGCACATTCACATGCGTTCCACGGTGAATTTGTGATTGGATCATAAACCATATTTGAACCCAGTGTTGATCATTAATATCCAAATACATGTTCCGCTGAATCCCATTCGGACTATGAATGTCCATGTTTATAAATATATATCCTTTCAAATCCGACAGTGTATGACGACTGAGAAAACACGGACTTATTCTTTGCAATTAAGTCACTGAAAAAGAAACATCCTGATTTTTGGATGCTCTAGGCATTAATTATCATTCAATACACTATTCTAATCTGGTGTTACTATTTTCCCCGCACCTTGAACAGGTATAAATCATGTTGTACAGCAGAAATAACACACATCCATACTGTGTTACACGTACGGAGATAACCAGCCGGGAGAGAACGAGTTTATTTAGGGCCAATAAATCAGAAACAATGTTTTTCCCTATCACACCTAACTATCCTAACAATCCGTAACTCTGCGATAAAAGTGATAGTATTTAGTATCAAATTATGTTTCTTAGCTCCTTGTTTAAGTAAAATGCGGTAGATACGACGTTTTCTACAGTAATTAATTTTTTTTGACGAAGACGAAAACTTATAGCTATCAGACAAACTAATGATTAGTTTTAAATTTTAAATGTAATATATGTAGCGTTATTTGATGGGTATCCGTCATAATTCATCGCCAGGACAGGCGACAACATGTACACAATACCCTGGCGTCGATCACAAGACGAATAATTTGTTAACTTGTGTTTAGGCTAAGCTGTGGTTTATCTTACGGAAGAAACCACTAGCACAATAAAGCTTTGTGTGAGCATCTGGGGGATCGACAGCGTGGAGACAGTCCTAATTATAACATCATATAAACATTATTTCTGTAGTTTATCAATACTTTGCACGTTAGTTTAGAGGATTGTTTTAATTGTGAGAAACAAACAAACAAACACACATTTTGAAATTTGGCGAAAGATGTTATTAACACCTTAGATATATGTTGTAACGAACGCACTTTCACCATACAACTATATCGGCCAAAATTGATGAAAACTCTATTTTTTCATGGTTATATTTATTTAATATCAAGTATTATCATTGATACGTCTAAAGCGTTGCTTGTTGTGCTACAAGTATACACAAAAGGCTATTTTTAGGGTTATTTTACATTATATACTAAGTGACTTTAGTACACAAATGAAGCACACACGCCTTAGTCAAAGTAAAAAAAAAATACATTAAAAAGGTGTTGAAGTTAACTATTAAGGACAGATCAAGATCACACTTGGGTTTTCCTGAATCCCTATCTCAAATCAATTACTTATACCAATATATATATATATATCTGTTTTTATTACGGAATGAGAAATAAATAGAATGTTGCTCTTCACATCTGTAATATATCCATCACGAGGGAAAGATACATGGATTGGATGTTAAATACGAGGAAATGCTGGCGTAGATTTGTACTGAAGGTCAGTATAAAGATTATATATCTTTTTGTATCATGATGGCGTGCCCATGATAGCAGGTATGATATACAAGAACAAGATGTAGAGTGTTACATGTGACAGCCGCCAGATAGATTAAAAACACCCGAGAACGTGTGACTGAATTTACTAAATAAATGTATATAAAGCGCGATAACCATCTGATTGAGAGATATTCAACGTTGTGAAGTAAATCACATGTGTGTCCCGGACGTATTCCATAGTTTTGGTACAGCCGCGGGCGATAGCAACACCTCCGATCTCGCCCATACATCTACTGATGGTCAAGGCAGATTGTGGTCAATCACACTAGGAAACAAACACCGAATTGTGCGCGCCATACAATCACATGTGTACATAACACAGATGTGGTTATTTATAGATTCGAGTTGAAAGTCATTCTTTATATAGTTTTAGGTGGACACTCTAACACATTAATATCGCCGACATTTTTGTTTGCAGTGATTTCCTTACGATATATGATGTCGTTTGTAAAGAGGTGATATATAAACAGACGGACTTTCTTCTTTTTGTAAAGGGCCGAAATATACACAGACGGACTTTCTTACTTTTGTAAAGAGCCAAAATATAAACAGCCGCATTTTCTTCCTTTTGTAAAGGGGTGATATGTAAACAGCCGGATTTTCTTACTTTTGTAAAGGGGTGATATGTAAACATCCGCATTTTCTTTCTTTTGTAAAGGGGTGATATGTAAACAGCCGGATTTTCTTACTTTTGTAAAGGGGTGATATGTAAACAGCCGGATTTTCTTACTTTTGTAAAGGGGCGATATGTAAACAGCCGGATATTCTTACTTTTGTAAAGGGGCGATATGTAAACAGACGGATTTTCTTACTTTTGTAAAGGGGCGATATGTAAACAGCCGGATTTTCTTACTTTTGTAAAGGGGCGATATGTAAACAGCCGGATTTTCTTACTTTTGTAAAGGGGTGATATGTAAACAGCCGGATTTTCTTACTTTTGTAAAGGGGCGATATGTAAACAGCCGGATTTTCTTACTTTTGTAAAGGGGTGATATGTAAACAGCCGGATTTTCTTACTTTTCACCGAATAAATAAAAAGATAAATAATACAATTTAAATTGTTGTTTATATAAAACTTGAAACGTATTTTGGTGAAATATCTCATATGAATATTTAAATGTAACAAGTTTGCATTAATTATTTAATACGTGTGACTTATCTTGACTCCACGAAGTAAATATCTAATGTTAAGAGCTATTATGTGGTTGTCTGTAAATTTTAAGCTCTACAGGTTTCACATTTAATCCTGCATATATCAGTTAAGTATTTGTTTGTGTAGAAAAAATGAAAGCGAAGTCAATAATTTTTTTTCTACAACTGTAATTACTAGGTCACTTTTCAATTTCAATATAATTATATGAATTTCTTAATTTTATTCAATGTATGAATTTCTGTATGTGACAGCCATTTTGGAGTCATGTCGGAATTTTTCTGTGTGACAATAAGTGTTCAGGTTGTTGTGTCTGGATTTCTCTGTGTGACAAGAAGTGTTCATGTTATTGTGTCTGGATTTCTCTGTGTGACAAGAAGTGTTCAGGTTGTTGTATCTGGATTTCTCTGTGTGACAAGGAATGTTCAGGTTATTGTGTCTGGATTTCTCTGTGTGACAAGAAGTGTTCATGTTATTGTGTCTGGATTTCTCTGTGTGACAAGGAGTGTTCAGGTTATTGAGTCTGGATTTCTCTGTGTGACAAGGAGTGTTCAGGTTATTGAGTCTGGATTTCTCTGTGTGACAAGAAGTGTTCATGTTATTGTGTCTGGATTTCTCTGTGTGACAAGAAGTGTTCGGGTTATTGTGTCTGAATTTCTCTGTGTGACAAGAAGTGTTCAGGTTATTGTGTCTGGATTTCTCTGTGTGACAAGAGGTGTTCGGGTTATTGTGTCTGGATTTCTCTGTGTGACAAAAAGTGTTCATGTTATTGTGTCTGGATTTCTCTGTGCGACAACAAGTGTTCGGGTTATTGTGTCTGAATTTCTCTGTGTGACAAGAAGTGTTCAAGTTATTGTGTCTGAATTTCTCTGTGTGAAAAGAAGTGTTCAGTATTGTGTCTGAATTTCTCTGTGTGACAAGACGTGTCTGAATTCTCTGTGTGACAAGACGTGTAGGAGTTATACCTAAAAATCTGTGTGACAAGACACGTGGAAGTTTGAATTATAAATTACTTAGTGAAAGGACATGTCGAGTATGCGATTTCATAATTATTTTATGTGAAAAAATGTTTGGGTGGTACTGACTAAATTACCTTATGTAAGAAGGTGTGTCAAAGGTTTTATAAGAAGTCTTATCCAAATTATCCAGAGTTGAAAAACTTTCTGTCCTATATATTTCATAATACAACAGGTTTTAGGAATGCCAGGTCTAAATTACCTTGTTCTATAGTAAACCCGGAGGATGTCTGGTCTGAAACACTGATAAATAACAGTTTGGAAGAAATCATGTCCGAATTTCACTATGTATAGGTCATATCTAGTCTATCTTTTCCTCTAAGGACTATGCTAGAGACTTACCTCTCACAAGAAAAATAAGTAGAAAATCAGACATTTGATGGGAAGTAAGAAGTCTATCAGAGCCTTTGTTATCTGTTTAGGACGATACGTGATTGGTAACGTCTTATCGAAATTCCCAGCTACACAGATATGCACATATCTTTATCAATATTCTGTTCTAAATATTTCTTTACTAAAAGTAGAGACACCAAGCTATAAAAACTTTACCTTTGTTAATAATTACAACGTCCTCGTGGTATTTGTATTGAATGAGAAAACTTAATACTTTTGTCAACAAATTTAATTTTGATTTATTTCCAATGCCATTAAAATTAGACGATAATGATTAATTAATACTAAAGGTATACTATGATGGGATATATCCCAACCATAATATGTAGTATATTCTTCGTAATACTATCAAATAAGAAATAGTTACCATAACCAGCAGAGTTGGTCTATATACATTTTACCTTGTAGTCAAAACTGTTAGAAATATTCGGGAGAAATGACTTAAACTGGCAGAAACATGCCTGTATACCTGCGATGATTCTTTAATGACTCAAAAGTCAATAACATAAACTGCCTGCCACTAACCCAGCGCCTTGATGGTTAGGTAGCGAGATGTTTATATGATTGTAAAACTGTTGAGTTTTATTTTGCCTTGTCATTCCTGTAAATGATAGCCGAATTAGTACTTGTAGATAATAGTTTTAATGAATTATATCTTTTTTAAAAAACTGAGTTAAGAATCAACTGAGAAATATGACCCCTGTAACTGGATATAATTAATTTAGGGAAATTAATATTAATGGTGCCTTATCAGATACTACATGACTGTTTTACATTCATATACACAGCGTAATATAACATTCCTACCCAGTGTAAGTAGACATATAAAAACCGAATATATCTCCTGTCAGTATGAAATAATAAAACAATGGTGTGTACTCACGTTTTAACGGCTTTGGGTTAGATTGTTTTCTTCTCGACATTATTCCTAGTGTTATTTTCACTTCAGTGTGTTAAACTCCCCGGTCGCTTGTCAACTGACATATGCAATATGCGCAATGACACCATGACCTCAGTGAGAATAATTGCGCGGTGACCTTTCCGGGGTCATGATGAATATGATACATAAACATTCAAGATAATCGATAACTATGATCCTGGAGTATGATTGGAGGACGGACGTATGTATCCACACTTGTCTAACACTAAAAACACACTGCCGGAACAACACTGTGATCTACAGTCAGTAACGTTCACATATACTATATAACCGAGGACTCGCTACGTCTGTAATCACCCGGCCGAGTTTTCACCTTTTCCTTCCCGGAGCACTAGTTTGCCAACTGATCAGTGCGGAAGACAAGCCAGCAATGCTAAGTATATTTGAACCCCAGCCCGCGCCAGTCGAGGTACGAGATATCCGATAAGGCTATCAGTCTTATCAGAGTGATAGTATCTTATCTACCCAACAATCAAACCATTCATCTTTACTTATCATGTGCCGTGTCAAAGGAGCGAGCCTCTGATAGGAGCGATCGACCCGTTCTGTTCGTCATATACCCTGCGGTCCTCCACGGACACAATGTCAAATTCTTGTATTCATCTACAAGCTACCAGATACGATTGTTGTACAGATGTGACGCTGTCGTATCTACGATAGCTAATCGCAAGTCTAGCAGTACTGTTTTACTACCATCAGATAGCAGGATGTGTGCGCGGTCTATTGTTTGAAGAGAGGAAATACAGGACATTCGCCCAGTAAACTATATAGAACGTGTAAACGCAGTACTCTTGGCGTTTTATCTATCTTGCCTATCTCAGAGATAATACTGTATCTCTTTTTTTTCTTATTGCCCTTGGATGATTACTGTAAGCAACTATATCTTGACATGCGCACGCAATTGATATTATTAAAACAAAATTCAATATTTCATTCAAACTTTACCGACACTGTTTCACTGCTTTAAAATTTTAATATTTCTCGTTCAGAAACTGAGTGACCATTTAAAAAAAATTAGGTTATTATCAAAAGTTTTCAAACACAAAACATCCCTCGTTTTAAAATTTCCAGCATTCTCTTGTTACATGTTTTCCCGGACTATCAACACAAAGCCGAAACATCAAGGAACAACCTGTTCTTACATTAGATATGACAACCGGATGATATCAGATACACGAAGAAAACAGAGGAAGAAAACAAAAAACACTTAAACATAGACACGAAGGCCTCTATGTAGGTGTGACAACAAGAGGACAGTCTAGTTCAATAGAAAGCCTTACAATAGCCCTAAATCTAAATGAACATTGCATGAAAAATCAAAGTCGTTGTTTGAAGGTAGACTAAACAAAACAGACTGAAATACCGAAAGCTGTGCATTTAGACAAATATTTGTATCAGTCCATGTTCCTCAGTCTGTTATTCATGATCTGTTTTGTTCAATATCCAACCTTACACATTTTTTTTATAAATTCCATATTCTCATTCTTCGGAATCACAAAATTTACCATCCGATTTCTTACCATCCTGACACCTTGTAAGTAAATTGCTTCCCTTTATTTTCACGTTTTGTAGTCAGGTGGTGTTGTTATCTCGGTTTTATTGATTTTCAATCCGATTTTGTGACAGTGCGTTAGATATATGTGATTTCCAGCTCATATAATATATAACGACAACAGAACGATAGCAAGGTATTTTCTACTTGTATACAGTATACTCCATAAACAGTAGCATTTATAGGGATGAAAAAGCACCAATACTAGTTACGTATGTACCGCCTAGCTTTTCATACGGAAATTATGTATGAAAATCTATATTTAATATTATTCATGGAGATATTTCTTATCACAAAATCTGCATATATGAGACGCACTGTGATATGAAATATGAACGTGGATTATCATTGATCTACTGTGACCGGAGATTCGATAAGATATGTTTATTATACGTCAGCTAGCTTTTCCTCTATGCCAATTCATAAAAAAGGGTATTAATTTACTGATGTCACCAGTAGATAAGCGGCGAGCCTTCTGACACACGGCATACTATATCCTACATACTGCAATGAAAACCCCTACACTCGCAAATACCAGTATCATATTCTGTCGTCAAATAGGGAACGTACTGAAGGCCGATCGATGTTAATGTATTAGAATTCTTAATGAGCTTAAAAACGGTGTAGATTAGAAAAGTGCCACTTCTACATACAACGGAGTTTACAACAACAAATTACATAAAATTATAATAACAAAAGGATTTCAAATGTGGTTCACCGTTTCAGGATTAATCATGACACGACACTCTTAGATCTTCCGTGTAGTAGGATGCTACAGACAAATTTGTAAAATAAAAGAATATTAAGTAATGTATTAATGAGTGTAAATTTATCAGATATAAAGCTATTTTTAGACAGAAGAGGTTACAAAAACAAAAGGATACCGACAGGTCAACTAAATCAAAAATTTAGTTTTGAAATATTACCACTAGGACTAAAAATAACCAAGTGCATAGTACATAACTACAGGTATTCCGGAAGGCTAAATGTCTTCTGTTTCATCGAAGGCACCCGCCATTAGAATCTTAGTCCATTCAAATAGGATGTATAAAATCAATACCCTGATGTCATTGGAATCTTTGTTCAAACTATAATTCGACGAAACGAATCTAGGGCAAAATATGAACAAAAAAGGGGGTTTAAGATGGCATTACCACTTCTTGTATACTATTTTATTTAAAATTTAGATAAATGTTTGGTTTAATACTTTCCGACGAAGCATTAAAACGTTAACAACAATGCTAGTAATGTGATATAAACTAGGAATGTTCATGTCCGTATTATTAACCAGTAAAACGAAATATTATAATACTTAAATATCATTAACTAATGTCTCGTCTTTGCGAAGTATATGATGATATGTATGTATAATTCCTTCGTAGTCAAGTTAAGCCAAGTTCCTGTTGTAAGCAGGAAATATAGCAGTGCTTGCAGAACAGGATCAAAATATTAAATACCTTATCTGCAGATACAACCACGTTCTTTTATTCACATCGTTTAGTATAATACTCGTGTGCACAGTGCGCAATCAGTTAGACACTATTTACTACTACGAAGAGGTCTCGACTGAAGATTCCCCGCCAGAAGGTGCCCCTCCCTGACAGTTCAACAAGCAAACAAAGTTACATTTTGTTTTGTTTAAAACTTCTTTTAATAGTTACTATGATGAATTTAATTCACTGTTTCAGTGAACCAAATTATCAGCTATTTATCTGCAATAAGTAGTGTTGTCTCCAGTACCGTTAATTAGACATTTTGTCTGTTATTTTCGTCTGTCACTATTGGGCATCTAACTATTATTTGATATAATAAGATGATGTTTGAACAGGAATGAACGCCAGAATAAACGACAATCAGAACACTGTAGTATATATTTAAGCATAAATGACATTGTTAAAATTATATTAAGACATTTCATGACGTCACCACTTAGTGTTTAACAGTCTTGTTGATATTACAAAGTTGTCGATCTGATGTTTAGGAGAAATGTTTCTTCTATCAATATTGCTTTCTGGTGTCATTATAACAATGTTTTAATTTATGGTACATTTCATTACGAGTAGGCAAAGAATAGCTTTTTAAATATGTCGTGTTACGACTAACAACAAAACAATAAGATATATCAGATAGATATTGCCGTGACGACTAAGTACCAAGTAAATTATATATGTAGGTAGTGTTACATGTACGACAAGATATAGAACACGTTAGGTTTATTTAATATATATGTTTGTTTTCACTACATCAAGATAATAACAAAACTTGGATATATATCTCATAACGAGAACGCGGCAATGAAATAGTAAGATAGGCGTGGCATTGTGAAAACAACAAACAAATTCCCAAACATCAACAGAATCTTATTTCAAGCTCAAATTCGATGTAACATTGAACATATCCAAGTAAGTAATGTCACGTTCTCAAATTAGAACATCGGCAGCACTAGGCTTACTAACGAGCACCAGACACGTCTTAACTTCAAACCGCAACAAGGAGATATTTCACAATGAGACCATTATGGTGACCGTATAATGTCCCCATAATTCATTTACATCTCCTGTAACCTCGTACTTAGAGGGGTTTGTTCAGTTACAGACATCTTGTACGATAATAATGATATATGGAACAAGCCGAATACTGAGTCAACTGTGACATATAAACACCATAGGTTGGTGATATAGGAATGTTGCTATCCAGAAATGGAAAAATCAAAAGAAGGAAATCATTACGCTTATCAGATAGTGTGGTGGAAAGCTGCCCCTGCTGGATTTCCTTATGGGAAAAGATCAAAGCGAACGGCTAATGTGAAAGAGTCGTGTCTTCGATTTCCAATTCAGGTGGGTGTATGGAAGACTAGGAGGTACGTAAGTGGCGTTAAAAGTATGAATAATATAGGCTATGTACGGATATCAGCATACAGATGGGATCTTACGTGAGTTTCGATATGACATGTGACTTATGAAGCGAGTCTCAGATTGAAAAAAATAACAAGCCTTTGGTGAGCCGTAATGAAATTTCGTGATAAGGTCCAGGTATGAAATGGAAACAGATTTCAGATCATTGTTTCCCATTATCGATTATAAAGACAAGTATATAAAAAAAAAACTTGAAATCGGCTCTACATATCTAGTATTTATCGTTACGCCATGATGCAGTTTTAAAGTGCTTGATGTGATTGTGACTTTATACGCTAAAAAGGATATGTTCACTGAATAACAAGGCGATTATGTGATAAAATACAATACCTATATGGTAATGCTTCAAACTGTACATGTAACCATACAACAGAGAAAGTTACTCCAATATGCTCGAAACGGTTGTATCTGCTATCATTTACATCAAATACTGACGGGAAGACATGTGCGAACGATTGGCCAGGAGATAAGGATGGGACTTGAAGCAGACATCGGCAGAGAATCATTAATAAATATTGATAAAGTTATCGCGTTCCTCTACCACTACGAGAATGTGGCGCTTTCCATCATTTAATATCCTCCCTGCCACTTAAAACGGAATCACTAATGAGTTACAGAATCGGCGAGATGCGACAATGAATAGGGACAGCTAGATAAGATAGAACACAGTCTGACTTAATGGAGGACACAATGTAAATGTTAATTGATATACACAACTAAAAGCCTCGAATGTATATATGGAATCGGAGATATCTCGCGTCGTCCCCACTGTCCACATACTTT